GAGAGAGAGAGAGAGAGAGTATGTCCAAGGGAATTCCAGCTATTTAATTCCAACTCTTTGTTTTGAGAATAACTTTTACTGGTTAATTTCAGGGTTATTTCAGGGTTCAGAAACTAAACCAGGCCCAGCTTCAGGGTGAATTGGGGTGGGGGCAGCTGGAAAGGAGTCCCATCATTTTCACACACACACACACACACACACACACACACACACACACACACACACACAAACACACACACACACACACACACACACAGACACAACACACAAACCCCTCTTCCATCACCTCCACGCCTTTCACATCTCCCCAGAGCATTGCAAAGGGATTATTTGGAGAGGCTGCCAACAGCAAATGGCTTTTAAGATGGGGGGGGGTATTTATTTATTTATTAAAAGCATGGGGGGGGGGTTCCAATCTGACACCCTCTTTGCCTTAATGCACTCCAAGGAAAAAACGGCAAGACAGCCACAGATGCTACTGCGGACTCTTTTATCCACCAAAATGACCTTACTTCTCTTTGACATATTTGGGGGGGGGGCAGTCCCTTGGGGATGGGGGGGGGGCAGTGATTCTTAACTCTGGCAACTGCCAAGTTGCTTGGCTTCCAACTCTCCCCCCACTCCTCCTCTCCCCAAATGCCTCCCCTTCCCTCCTCCCCAATATCAGCCTTGAGAGAACCGGCCCAGCCTTTTTGTCCCAAAAGTCTTCCTTTCCTATTAAGAAGGGCTGGACTACTACATCTCCCTTCATCCCCTGCCAGGCCAGGCTGCAGACGGGTCTCCTTAATTGGGGGGGAGGCCCTATCTCCTTAATTGGGGGGGAGGCCTTATCCTTAGGATCCTAAGGCTTTTTTGGGGGGGGGACAGGGAGGATGGGAAAAAAAGAAATATTGGTGGTTCCCTCCCCCCTGCAGCTTTAAATAAAAAATTGCCAGAGGTGGGCAAGAGGAGGGGGGCTGATTTCTAGCACCCCCCTTTAGCCCCCCCCCCAAAAAACCCCTTCCCCCCCACCCACTGCCACCAAAGCCCTGAGCCTGCTAGCTTTTGTCCCTTCGCTAACACCGAGGCGCCAAGCGCATCAAAGCGGAGAGGCGAAGGACGCGCGGCCGGGCGGACTGTGTGGTGCAATGCAGAACTTCACGCGTGCCCTCCCTTCCACGCACGCACACACGCACAGAGAGAGAGAGAAAGACACACACACACATACACACCAGCCGGTCGCAAAACACGCCGCTTCCCTGCAAATCCCCTTCCCCTTTCCCCGGGAATCCCGAGAAAAGCTGGGTGCCCGTTTTACGCACGGCGGGCGCCCGCTTGCAAATGGAGGAGCCCCCCCCTCCCCAGTTTGCTTTAAAAGGTGAAGTCTTACAGGGGGGCGAGGGGGATGCAAGGTGGGCAGAGAAAGAGCCCACCCTTCGCTGCCACCTTTCTCCTCCTCCCCCCCCCGCACCGCTGGACACCCCCCCCCAAACACACACCCAGGTTTATTTTTAAACCCCCGTAGAGCTATTAATAATGCACAAAGGGATACGTGTTCCCTGCAGCAAAAGCACTCATTTTTCTTAACCCCCCCCCCCAGCTCACGCCCCGCCTTCCCGGTTAGGGAAAAAAATAAAGGGGGGGGGAGGACCGAAAAGAAGAGGCCTGAACCCCGGCTTTCAAACCCCGAAAGCTGGCATCGGCCCCCACCCGCAAACCACCCCGGATTTTGGAGGCGCCGTTTGGAGAGAGGGACTCGTCTCCAAGCGGTGCGCTCAGGGCGCAGCGCAAAAGCGCTTCGGTTGTTGTTGTTTTAAATGTCTTTCCTTCTTTCCTTTCGTTCTTCGGGGGGGGGGCTTTTCTTCTTTTCCTTCCCTTCTCCCCCCCTCCCTTCCTTCTTTCCGTTCTTCCTTTCCTCCCCTTCTTTTTTCTTTTCTAGCCTTTCCTTCCTTTCCTTCCCCTCCTCCTTCCCTTTTTTCTTTTCTATCCTTCCATTCCCCCTTCTTTTTATTTCCTATCCCTCCTTCCCTTCCCTTCCTTTTTCTTTTCTACCCTTCCCTTCCTTCTCCTCCTACCCTTTTTTTCTTTTCTATCCTTCCCTTCCTCCTTCCTTTTATTTTCTATCCTTCCTTCCCTTCTTTTTTCTTTTCTATCCTTCCCTTCTTTCTTTTCTTTCCTTCCGTCTTTTCCCTTCTTTTTTCTTTTCTATCCTTCCCTTCTCATCCTTCCCTTCTTTCTTTTCTATCCTTCCCTTCTTTCTTTTCTATCCTTCCCTTCTTTCTTTTCTATCCTTCCCTTCCTCCTTTTTTTCTTTTCTATCCTTCCCTTCTCTTCCTTTCCTCTCCTCCTCCTTCCCTTTCTCCTCTTCTATCCTTCCCTTCCTCCCCTTCTTTTTCTTTTCTATCCTTCCTTCCCTTCCCTTCTTTTTTTCTTTTCTATCCTTCCCTTCTCTTCCTTTCCTCTCCTCCTCCTTCCTTCTTTTCGATCCTTCCCTGCCCTTCCTTTCTTTTCTCTTTCTCCTTCCTTTCTTTCCCCCACTCCTTCACCCACCCACCCACGCAGCTTGACCTTACCTCTTCCCGAGGGGGTCCCCCAGCCGGGGTGAGCGTGGGCAGCTCCCCGGCCCCCGGCTGCTGCCCGCCGTCTTCTGCCCCCACGCCTGGCATCCTTCACGCGTGACGCCCCCAAGACGGCGGCCCGGCCGCATCTTAGGCTCGGCCTCGGGGCTGCCCGGCCCCGCAGCGGCTCCAGCTGTGCCGCCCCCAGCCGCAGTCCCCGCCACGGGGCATGAGAGGCGACGAGGCACCGTTGCGCGCCCTACCCTGGGCGCCCACCTGCCCGGACGCCCGCGGACTTTGGGCGGCGGGGGCAGCGGCGGCTCCGCCCTCCACGGCGGGGCTGGGAAGGCACAAAGCCCGGAGCCTCCCCCCCAAAGGCCCAGGCTCCGATTGCCCTGCCTGGACCGTCCCGCAAGGCTTCAAGGCAGATGCTCCGCTTTGCGCTTGGCGAGGCTCCGCGGAGAGCTTGGTCGCCCCTGCTTTGTCCCGCTCGTCTGGCTCGCTTTCCTTCGGCCCCGATGACTCGGCAGGCAGGCAGAGGGAAGGCTGCTTCCCCACGTGTCCCTCCCCTTCTTTCCCCTGCAGGCACGTCGGGATGCAAACCTGGGTCAAAAGAGAACCCACCCACCCCCGTCTTAAAGCATGGGCCTGAGGAGGGGCACTTGCCCCTGGGCCCCCCAGCAGCATAGGGAGCCCCCCCCAGGCCGATTTTTTTTTGAAGTGCCAATCAAATAAAATAGATTTTAATTTGATCACCCGCTAGCTGGATACCCTTGCCCCGAAAATTATGCGATGGGGCTTTGATAAATGGAGACTTACAATTTGGAAATTAATGAGTAGCTATGATCGGGCCTCTTCTCCCCCCTTTTCTCCCTCAGGCTGACCCCATTCATCCTTTCCTATCCCCTTCTTTCCCTCAGGATTGCCCCATAGAGGCCTCTCTTATCTCATCCCCCTTCTCTCCCTCAGGCTGGCCCCATTGATCCTATCTTATTCCCTTTTCTCCCTCAGGATTGCCCCATTCATCCTTTCCTATCCCCTTCTTTCCCTCAGGCTGCCCTATTGATCCTATCTTATCCCCTTTTCTCCCTCAGGATTGCCCCATTCATCCTTTCCTATCCCCTTCTTTCCCTCAGGATTGCCCCATAGAGGCCTCTCTTATCTCATCCCCCTTCTCTCCCTCAGGCTGGCCCCATTGATCCTATCTTATTCCCTTTTCTCCCTCAGGATTGCCCCATTCATCCTTTCCTATCCCCTTCTTTCCCTCAGGATTGCCCCATTGATCCTATCTTATCCCTTTT